GCAACTACTATAGCATATCAATGAAGATTTTTTTTTTTTTTAATCAGTAAAAAGAAACCTTTATTGATGATAAAACCATATATCAAATGGGATTATATCAAATAAATGAGTGAATGAGCAGAAAGCATCATAACTAACTAATCCAATCTCAATTAGGTTGGCATCGAGAGTCCAATCATTTGCAAGCTCAACCACAAAGGGTTGATGAGAGACCAAACCTCGCAGGAGGGAAAACTCACAAGAAGCACTAAACCCATGTAACATTATCAAACAGAACAGCATATCAATGAATATGCCCTTATAATGTCTAAATGCTATAATTTGACAATCCTATTATAATAGTTCAAATTTCATATCATATTTTTTTTCTATTTTCTCACGAAGTACCAAATGGAATATTATGCATGTCCACATCTAGAGAGAGAATTTTGTCAAATTATAGGAACAATATAATTTGGCAACAGAAATGGCATATCATTGGAGATGGATTTTGCAAAACTCTTGCTAATCTTTGTACATAATTTATGTTTTAACACATGATTAGATGATCTTACAATGCAAATGTAAGTTTAGTTGTAAAGAAAGTGTAATCAAACACTAGATTGGCACCTTTGCTTACCCTAACATTATAATTACTATGCAACCATGTACCCCTATTAAATACCTAATAATGCAACAACCAAAAAAAAAAAAAGAATAAGTATATCATACGTAGTGATTCCAAAGACACATCGAACATGAAAATATATACTACTCCTAGACTTTAAAAATAAAAAATAAAAATATAATAATACGTTGCTTTAATACTAATAATAAGCAACCAAAAAAGTGAGTTTGCATTGTTAAAGGTGAGAAAGCAGATTGGCAGAAAAACCGGCGGGAGTGTGTTTTCAGATTTTTACCCACACACTAATAATGTAACAACCAAAAAAAAAAAAGAATAAGTATATCATACGTAGTGATTCCAAAGACACGTCCAACATGAAAATATATACTACTCCTAGACTTTAAAAATAAAAAATAAAAATATAATAATACGTTGCTTTAATACTAATAATAAGCAACCAAAAAAGTGAGTTTGCATTGTTAAAGGTGAGAAAGCAGATTGGCAGAAAAACCGGCGGGAGTGTGTTTGCATTTAATTTATCTTTCTTTTTATTTCTTTATCTTTACAATACGAAAAGGTAATTATTTAAAGTAAGACACACATAAATAATTATTACGTGTATATATAATTGATTGCCATATAGTAATAAATAAAGCAAATTTGTCTGTCTTTCTTAATTGAAAGGCCTCATTTTTTTGTCAACAGTCAAACTATGTTTAAAGTAATGGTGTTTCTGGTCAGAGAACGAATCATTCCTCACGCTTGGCACTTCATTTTTTATTATTACTCCATGATCACTTCTCACATGGATTTCAATATTGTAGACATAGATATATACATAGAGAGAAAGCTTATTTTCAATTTTTAATTGGTAATTTTTATTCATCCTAAGCAATTAAATAAAAAATCATATTAATAATTATCTTTAGGGTTAAGCACCATACCAAGTTGAAAAAATTATAATCTCAATATATTTTTCACATATTTCAAAATATTTTTAGACATTTCAATATACTTTTTACCTATTTTTTCAATACAAACAACAACCCTTGAAGCTGATTTTAGTATTTTTCTTAAATAAATGTAAATTTATAATTCATTTATACAGAAAATTCCAATTTTGCCCTTAATAAAATGGGTTAGCCACTTGTTCCCTCCCCTTTCCTTTTTTTACATTCTCTCTATCTCCTAGGTCTTCTCTATCTCCTCTTTCTCTTTCTTTCATCTCTATTTTGTAGTCGCATTATACCCACCGATCTCCATCTCCATTGAAAACATACTATCTTTTAAATATATATATAAAAATAAATAAATAAAAAGGAATCAAATCACACCATCTAAAAGATAAATACCTCTTTTTCTCTTGAAGTTGTCAAAGTTATGCATAATAAGCTACGTCCCTCTTTCATCTCTCATTTCTCCAAACACCGTGACCACTACTAGTTACCCACTTCTATTTTGTTATCTATTTTTCAAATTTTGCAAGGGTGGTGGTGCTATAGAGGGGAACAAATGGTATAGGCAAGGCAATGTTGAGCGGTGGTAGAGAGGAAAGAGACGATCGTAGTATGCAATGCTTAGGTGGCACAAGAGTGGTGGTAAGCAAGTAATGGTAAGAATAAAAAGAGAGTAAGGGTAGTTAAGTAATTTATTATATAAAATGAAGGTTGAAAAACAAAAGAAGTGAGTTTCCATCGAAATTGACTCCATAATTAATCTTTGTAATTAGAGAAATGTCATTTATCACTGGATAAATCGGTGATAAATCACACAATCAAATTATATATATTATAATAAATAAACAATTTATTCTTAAATATATATATATATATATATAATTTACATAAAAATTAATTGATGACATGACAATTACAATTAGTATTAAATCAATTTAATTTTTTAGATGAATAGTTTTTACAATCGGATGTTATATGGAGAGAGATAGAGAAAGAGTTCAAGAATTTTGAAAGTTGTCTAAGTGGTTGGTGGATATACTTTATACATAATTATTTAGGGTTCGGGTTACTAGAAAGAAAAAAAAAATTAAAATGAATAGTTTTTACAATTGGATGTTATATGGAGAGTGATAGAGAAAGAGTTCAAGAATTTTGAAAGTTGTCTAAGTGGTTGGTGGATATACTTTATACATAATTATTTAGGGTTCGGGTTACTAGAAAGAAAAAAAAAATTAAAATTTTCTAGTCCCAATATAGATGACCTGCCTTTAACTAGATCAAGAAAAGAATTAACTGAGGTGTCTGTAAGCTGACGTGGATATCTCTTATTGTTGAATAAAAAAATAATAAATAAATGTCAAGATTTAACGCTGGGTGCACGTGCCATTCATTTGGTTCTTGTGTGTGTCTAATACATGTCGGGTGGGTTGAGGAGTCCCATGGGAGGTGACTATGCTACACATCACGTGACCTCGCTTTACTCTTCTGTTTCAGTTTACACGTGTTACCTACCGTTGCACATGTTCATGCAGCTTGCTTATTTTCTACTGTTACTATTTATTATTATTGTGTTTGGCGTTTAGTGTTAGTGATTATTATTAGATTAACTTAACACCCACAACATAATTAAACAAGTGTATAAAATTCATTCGTTATAAGGTTTAACCAAAAATAATGATACGATTTTTCATATTTTTTTTTATCACATTTTACTTATCATATTATGTGTTAATACTGCATTGACACAATCAGTCTTGTTATTTCTAATCATTCAATAAACAATAATATTACAATGAACACATTTATACACTTTAACATATTTCATAATTGAGAACGCACAAAATTGTTTATACCATTAATTATAAATATTTAGGTTTAATTCAGGGGCACCTTTTTAATTATTATTAAATATTACTTTACTCCTCTCAATTTCAAAATTGTACATTTAGACTTCTTTAAAATAAAATTAGATTCCTTTCACTCCCCTAAATTAAAAATAAAAAATTGTGCATTTCTTCTAGTACATTTTTGCACCTTAACAATAAGGTGAGAAAGCCAAATACATGCCAACTCAACTATAAGGCAAGGAAGGCGGTTGCTTTCAAGCCTCTGTAAAACTATTAACCCATAAGAATTAAGGCGAAAAAACAAACCAAAAAAAAAAAAAAAGAAGAAAACAAAAAAAAAAAAAGAAGAAGAAAACAATCATATGATAACTATATTTTAGTACCAGTTAATGTGACATTTTACATGACATTATTCGTATAATGAATTTCACCTTTTATTTTAAAACTATTAATATTGAGGGAAATTGATTGAAAAGTCATATTAGTAAGATAAGTGCACCAATAAGTCCTCTTAACTTTTGGTGTATCAAAAATTCTTGTTCACTTTTAATTAACACAAAATTCTATTTTTTTTTATATTCTTAGTGGCGTTTTCATAGAAAGTATCATTTTTAGGGACAGTTTGAAAAAATCGTCATAAAAAGTCATTAATTATTATTTTTTAGTGTCAGATTTTAAAAATAAAATTAAAAAATTACTAATTATCAATTATTAGCAACAGATTCATAAAATCGTCGCAAAACTATTAGGAATTTTTTATCTGTACGTGAACTTAATGATGCACAAATCTTTATAATATGACCTGTGAGTAATTAATTCTAATATTAGTATTATGTGAGACCCATCAAATGATGTGATTATAAGTCCTCTTAAACTTTTGGTGTATCAAAAATTCTTGTTCACTTTTAATTAACACAAATTTCTATTTTTTTTTATATTCTTAGTGGCGTTTTCATAGAAAGTATCATTTTTAGGAACAGTTTGAAAAAATCGTCATAAAAAGTCCCTAATTATTATTTTTTAGTGTCAGATTTTAAAAATAAAATTAAAAAATTACTAATTATCAATTATTAGCGACAAATTCATAAAATCGTCACAAAACTATTAGGAATTTTTTATCTGTACGTGAACTTAATGATGCACAAATCTTTATAATATGACCTGTGAGTAATTAATTCTAATATTAGTATTATGTGAGACCCATCAAATGATGTGATTAATGTCATATAAAGTATATATCAAATGAGATATTGAATATTAAAATAAATAAATAAATACTCAAAGGAAAGCCCATAATAAAATAACTCAAGTTACAATAAATTTTTATTGACAAAAATAACTTAAGATTCACAATTCACTTTTCAAGTTTTATTGATTTGTTAAATTTTTAAGCAGTTTAGACACAAGGATCACAATTTTCTTAAAAAGCAAAATAATTATGAAAAAATATAAAATATAAAAATAATAAAATAAAATGAGAACCTCCTATTGAGATTTTTCCTTAACCCTCATCATCAAGGGTTGGGCCTGCCCTTATCCAAACATACCATGCACATCACGTCCTATATCTATATCTTATAGGCCAAGCAATACTCATATTATATGATTGTTTTATTATATTATCGTAACCATCTCATTTAATTGCTTAAGCATATGTCTATTAACATATAATGTAAACATGATCACCTCATACTCTAACAAAACAAAAGATTCTGAACATCTATATATTTAATATATGACAGAAAAATGGAAAGATCTAAAAGCATAACCTAATTAGAACTTCGAAGAGCTATTTTCAAGTCTGGTTTCACTTTGTAGATGTGCAAGATATTATTAACCATTGCCAGTGGACTTGAAGTGATATTCATCAATTGTCGAGTAAACCAGCCCTTCCTCTTCCAGAGCCTTGATTGATATTCTGTCAAATTCCCAAAGAAATTAGTGGGTTGGGGGAACAAATGAAAACATAAAAACTGCATTCAAATAAACATTTGCATATATATGAGAGAGAGAGAGAGAGAGAGAGAGAGAGATACGTGATTTTGTCCACCGGCATGTTTAATTGTTGGGAAATTTCAGTCACGTGCACCCCCTTTTCCCGTGTACTGAAACAGTGGAAGATTTCAAGGGTTAACAGCAACAATCTAACTCCATGATAGAAATAGTAAAGAATGAATCATCAACACAAGATTGAGAAACAGATGAATCATTGAGGAACATAACATAAAGACCACGTGTTGACTACAACAAACAGAACACAGAATGATTCATGCACATATATTGTATTCCTTTTTTTACACGAAATGAAGCCCTAATCAAGTAGACCAGTTCACTGAATCATATGGATAAACCCAAAATCCATCTTTTGAAAGAGAGTTCCTATTGCCACAATCACTTTGGCTACTACTACTGCCACCTCAAAAGCCTATCCTCCATTTATAAGGCTGTGTATGAGGCTGTACGTAGCTAAATTGGCTGTGGATATAGGTTCCAAAATTCTAAAATTGAATATAAAATAAAATGGAGAAGCAATCAGTAAATATGCTGGAATGCTTTGAGCTGAAGGAGCTTTTATGGTGGTCAGAAGTGTTTTATTGTGTATTTGGATACCACTTTAAATTGGTTTGACCTTTTAGAGATTTATTACCCAAGTGCGCTTATCAGCGAAACAACAATAGAGGTGTTTTAACAGGAAAGAGGAACTGAGATTCTTTAGCCTTGGCCAAAAACAGGAAGTAAAAGTTTTTCCCATGCCACAATCTCCAAACAATACCAAACCTCTTTACAACCTCTTCTCTACAAAACTCTTAATTAAAAAGCACTTTATTAAAAGCTACTACACCAAACATGGCCTAGGTATCAGGAACCAATTAGATGCTTCCATCAAGAACCTCGCCTCCCACATCTCCTCAAATGTGTTAGCCTCACCCATGGTCTGTATGGTAGGAGGGAAGGGGGAAAAAGAAAGGGGTGGAATGGATAGTCTCCATTCTAGAAGAAAGGAGTGGAGCAAGAAAAGGAAGAAAGGAGAGAAGCACTATCCCTCCAAGCCAAACGAAATCCTTTCCTCCCAAAAGTGAGCCAAAAGTATTAGAGAAAGGGCTTTCTTCTCTTTCGAAACTTTTTTCCTTCCAAATATATGATTTCGTTTTTCTATAATGACACATAGAACCCCAACTCTTCATCCTTTCCTTCATCCTCAAGCAAACGAAAGGAGATTTAGGTACTATCCTTAGGGAAACTTTGTCTTCATATATTAGCCTTATTGTTGGTATGTTTGGTAGGAGAGAAGAATAGGAGCAATAGAAGGGGAAAAGGGCAAAGGGCATAAAAGATATCTCCATGTTTTAGGAAAAAGGAAAAGGGCAGGAAAGGGAAGAAAGAGGAGCACTATCACTCTATGTCAACCAAATTCTTTCTGCCCAAAAGTGGGCTGAAAGAATTTTTGGGCAGAAAGAATGAGAGAAAGCGCTTTCCTTTGTTTTTGATGTTTTACTTACTTCGTGTTATGTAAAACAAATTACTGGTCAAGTTTAACAAAATCCATTAAATCTTTTCTTCCTTTTCAACCACAATAGCAGAAAATGGACTTTCTTTTCTTCGGTTCACATTATCTATCCCTTCTACCTTCCCTTTTTATATCAATCATATCATACCAAACAGATCATAAAGGATGATGTAGCCAATCTAGGCAGTCGATTGAACTTGAACTATATTTGGCAACATAATAAGTTACCTCTACATATTGTGTAATGATCTATCTCAAGGGAGGAGCATTTATGCCACACAAGGACAATTACCTTAATAAAAATTGTAGCATAAGATGGTAATGTGAAACAACGAGATCAATCCACAAAAGTCACCTCAGATTCCGCACACTAGCAAAGTGTTAAAATGTGAATGCTCAACACAAGGTAAAAAAATTCTAAAATTAAATCTAAAGGTGTAAAGACTTTCCACTGAAAACGTCAAACATTTCATTGCAGAGAAGGAAGCTTGCCCTCATCGAATGTGAAACCAACATTCTAAACTTCAGTTACAAAAGAGGGTTTTTTTATTTATTTTTTTAAAACCATGTATTAGACTAAGTTTAATAACTCAAGACAAGCTCTCTACATGCATACTCATATGCTTATGAGCAAAGGCATACAAGGCACACTTGAAGCATGCACCTTAGATTGTGCTGTGCAAACTGTAAGAGTGTTGCCTAAAAATCAAAAACTTGATGCATTAACAACACATTTTACTTTGCATACCAGAAAACTCGCCCTTCTAGAACACTTCACAAAGCATTCACATTAACTGTTTTTCTTCATTGTATGTCTGCTTGAATGATATGCACAACAATTATTTACAAGCGAAGGACAAAGACTAGCTGTACGGGAAAAGGATAGTAACTCACAGGCATGCAGGTTGCTGCAGATAGTCCATGACTACTTGATCAATGCCCTTGAGTCCATCTATGCCATAATTGCCAACATACTGAAAAGCATAAAATATATAGGAACAGTATAAATATCAACTACAAGTTCACAGAATATTGGATTCCCAAGATTGACTAGCTTACTTGATTCGGCGGGGTAGCTTGATATCCCTTTGAAGGGGTGTTAACTGCTGAACTTGTCATATTGACAGTAGAGGCACCACCGTGTTGTTTCTATCAAGATAAATACAAAATCCATCATGAATACAAAGTAGACCATATATAAAATAATTCACATCAATGCATAACAGCATTTCAAATTTGAGTTGGCAAATTTGAAACAGTTAGATCCATACCTGTAATTTGGTGTTGTACGAATGGACATACATACACTCAACAAAGTGGTATGGAATCTCATTATAGTCAGTCAGAGGCCTGAAAAGCACAGCCAAGATAAAGATTTAATATCCTGAGACAGAAGAAGAATGTGCACATAAAAACATAATCCATTATCCTTTTCTATTTGTAAGAATATGGCAGTGTCAAAGCCTCCATTGCAGACAAACTTGCAACAATGGAATATACCACTTCAATAACTCTACTAAGATAACCAATGACTAAAGATAAATAAATTAATTAATTAATTACGTAATTATTATTTCAAAAAAAAAAAAAACTTTAAGAGTGAGGTTAAATATACAACACATCACATACACCTAAATTCCTGTCCAATTTCATTATTTATGAATCCATATCATCAAGCTACGTAGAAAGTAACTCTAATCCATATGGTATGAAAATTAAGTTATTGTTAGTTGCACTAGGTTACTGAAGTCAAATAAAGGTAAAGCGAAAGAGAAGAAATTAGTAATATCTTTGTTAGTTAGTTACACAAACACAATCATCAGAAGGGGGGGAAAAAAGTGAAAATCGAATTCTAAATAGTTCAAAATAAATTCACCCATAAATTAGCATCAATCATGAACCCTAAGATTCTGACAAATAAACTCCGAAAATCCTCATAAGAATTGATGACAAAAAAAATTATTGCTTGAACCTAAAAGCATCATCTAAAAGTTCAACTAAAAGTTCTACAAGATAAATCTCACTATACAAAAAGTAGTTGAACCTGTAAATGGCATCTGTTATTGTCATAACCTAGAAATCACTTTACACTGCATTTATGTTATTCTTGCATTTGAGTGCATTTGTTCAACCAAGCCATATTCTTTACTTGATAAGATTATATGATACTACTTTCAAGTCTTGAATTTTAGCATGAAATTGTCTAACTAGCGTAATTGTTGTAGTGGTCTACTTGAAATTGCCCTAACTTTGCCCTACCCTATGAAGCATGGGTACTTCGAAAAATATGTCGTACCCGTACCGGGTACTTACCGGCGTACCGTACCTCGTATAGTACTTTTGCATACGTACCAGGTACACGAAACACGTACCCAAGTTTTTTCTTCTTAATTTTTAACGTACCCAGACGTACCTAGTATATATCCAAGCCGTACCGTACCTCAGTTGAAACAATATTTTCCTTCTACTACAGAGATAAAACTCATTTCACTAGATTTCTTTTTCAGTTTTTGTTTTATACTTAGCATGATTTTAAAATTAAACTATGGTTTGTAAGTTGTTTAATATATTGATATTTAATTTTGATTTATACTTTTCCTTTTGGCATTAAATGTTAATTATAGGTTGGACCTTAACAAATTAAACCATTTAATTATTTTTTGCATTACTCTAAATTAAAAATAAATATTTTTTTACAAGCGTACCAAGCCCAAGCCGTACCCATACCCTATTTTTTTTGAATTTTATCGTATCGTACCAGTACCAGTACTTGTACCCGTACCTGTACTTCATAGGCCCTACCCAATTACTTTTGGATGAATGTTGTTTGAAACTTAAATTGAGCATGGGTTAACTAGGAATATGTCATAATTCTTAAATGAAATATGTTCATGGTATGGAAATACCTCATGCTATTAGATGCAAATAACTTAGAATGTCTTCTACTTTTATGACTTATACTGGTGCATCATCCGTTATGTTGAAATAAGTTATGAGTGTGAGTATGAAAATGTGGTCTGAGACTATGTCACTTGTGTACTTAAGTAGATACATTTAGCTAGGGATACTTAATGATGCTTGCTTAAATGGCTAATCAAGATAATTATTGCTTAATCGACTTGGATTAATGACTATTGTATTCTCAAACCTTATGTGGAAAACTAATCATGATTGGTCAAGGTTAAGTGTGATTAATTAAGGTAAACACAATCAAATAGCTAGGTAAGACTGATTAGTCAAACCTAACCATGATTAATTAAATATAATTAATTAAGCTAATGATGTAGATTAATTAAAGAAGATAGTCAATGGTGGATTGAGGAGGAAGACAAGTGGTTAATTCTATACGAAGTGTGTGTGCTTGCCATATGTCTCAATATATTCTTGTTTCGTATTATGTATATTCACGAAAAATACAAATAAACAAAAAGGAGAAAAAGGATGTGCTTGTGCTGGAATTCTTGTTTTTCTAGAGAATAAGTGAGAAAAGAAAAGGAAGAAAGAAGAAATCGAGGGAAGACTAGTTTGAGCTTGAAATTCATGGCAATAATCAGTATCTAATACTTGATTTCTTCACTTCAATTGGAAAAGAACCCTATTAACATGAATTGTAAGAGAAGAATTGACGGGAAGAAAAAGAAAAAAGAAAAAAGATTTGGGCTGTGTTTGGTAAGGCTCGCGAACTATATTTCCACCCTCCTATTTGTACTAGACGTTTAGATACAGATTTGAAAATACAATTCTACCACAGAGTTCAAAATGATATTCGAATTCCCGTTTGGCACATTTCTCCCTCTGTTCAATCTCCACTGTAAAAAGCTTCCAAACGCACATATTCTCTCTCTTCAGTCTTCGCCATTTCTGAAAAGCTTCACGTGCAAAGAAAATAAAAACTGAAGATCAAAGCTCAAGATTCTTCACGGGTCTCGTCTTCTCTCTTTGAACTGAACTGTGAGCTTCAAATCGTTACCATGCCTGTGAACCCCCTTCCTATCCATAAATTCATTTGGAAATTATGTATGGGTTATATATATATATATATATATCATTGATTTGCACCTTCATCCCTAAATTCATCCCCAAATTAATTTTTCTCAGGCTAAATACGGTTCAATCTCCTTCCATTGTTGTTGTTGTTGGCATGGTGGCCTCGAATTAGAGGTTTCACCATGTTCAGATCTCGCTCTTTTTATTCTAGGCATGATTACAGTGTGAATGGTGGGTTTTGGAGGTGGGAAATTTCTGATGTGAGAAGTAAGGAAATGGAGTGAAAATGTAAGCAATAGGGAAACGGAATGGAAGAAGCTTCAACTGAGGCTTGAACTGAACTGAAACTGGTTGACCGGCCGGATAACTCACCGATTGACCTACCGGTTGACCGGTGGCAGTGGGGTTCTGTGAGTGATCTGTTTGGCTGATCTATGATGGCTCTGTTGGCTTCTCCTCGCCAACCTTCAAATGTGAAAGCCTCGTAATTTACAACTCACTGAATTTTTAAACGATTTTTCCTCTGTGTTTGTCTTCAAAATGGCTTTGGTATAGGCTTTCTTATAGACTCAATTTCAGTTGAAGAAATTCTTGACAATAGGTGTAGGTGGTGGACGGTTGTAAGATTCATCTATCAATAATGGTGGTGGTTGAACATGTGCATGGGTTTGGTTGTTTTGCAGAATGGTAATGAATGTTGATCAGCTCACTTCGTAAAGCTTCACCAAGCCTCGGACTCATCTTCATCAATGAAGATGAGTTTCATCAATGGCGGGCACTGTGCAAAAATTAATAAATCAAATAAAATTGAATTGTGTGAGATAAATTGAGTAAATGTTACAAAAATGATATTTGAATTTTTTTTTCACTCCTATATCATTTGTGTTAAAACCTATCACCTACTTTACCCACTAAACCTAACCCACTACACCACTACCACCTCACCTACTCCACTAAACCTAACCCACTACACCACTACCACCTCCACTTCACCTACTCCACCTACCACCTCCACTTTACCTACTCCATCTACCACCTACTACCACCTACTCTTCTATATATAGGAATCATTGTAACATTCAATAAATACATCAATCAATAATACAATTCTTTATTTCTCTATACATCAATTTCAACATGGTATCAGAGCAGGTTTAGAACCTAATATTTTCGCTTCACCGGCGGGCGGCAACCTCACCTTAGCCGTCCGCCGGACCTCAACCTAGTCTGCTAAAATTTTCTACACGTACCTTGAAATTTCCTTTCTTCAACCTGCTGAGTGCACAAACCACAGACAGCACACTGTATTTTGCTTTTTCTGACTTGGTTGGGTTCAGCATTTGGTACCTGGTTGAGGAGGGAGGTTGCGCCGCCGTCAATTGAAGGGGGCGATGGCATCCTGTCAGTGTCGCTGTGTGTGTCTAATAGTAATACCAGCTGCAGCTACAAATACGCCTCCGATATTTCCATTGTCGTCGATTCTCGATCTGAGAGGAAGTACAGGAAGAAGAAGGAGATTTTCGGGCATTTCTTCCACAAGCCCTAGCTTTAGCTTCAGGGGAAGACAAAGACAATGCCTCCTCTTCAACAGAAATTCTGAGTCCACTTGTACTACTAGTGGTCCCTTTCATCGATGCAACACTCAACTGGGCGGAGACCTTGCCCCTGCTACCTCTGCAGCCTACGAAGTGCTTCTCCTTGTTGGTGGTTTTTTTGCCTATACAAGAACAGGAAGCAAAGGATCGCTTCTAGGAGGCCTTACTGGTGGATCTCTAATGGCTGCAGCTTACTTTCTTATGCAAGCATCAGAGATGAAGGAAATAGGGGATGCCCTTGCGTTTGGATCCACCTTCCTCTTTGCGTCTGTATTTGGTATAAGATTGGCAGCTACTCGCAAAATAATGCCCGCAGGGCCTTTGTTAGGTCTTTCCATCTGTGCGTTGGCTGTGTCTCTTAAGGAGCATAAAGAAGAAAAGAGAAAACCAAACAGGGGGGGCTCTCTCTATCGTTCTGATTTTTGGTGAGACCAAACCCACGGTCTCTCTCTCTCAAACAACAAAGTCACACGCTGTTCTTTCTTTTCTTTTTTTATTTATTTCTTTTAATCACCTTTTGCACCTCCCTCACCGACTCCCTCACCACAAAATAGAATTTTTTATTTATTTATCTTACATTTTTAATGTTTCATTTTTACCAATAAAAAAAAAAATAAAAATAATAATATAGCTTTGCACACCAAACCATATTTTATTCATCTCAGGGATCAACCCCGATCAAAAAAAAAAAAAAAACACACACACACAATCAATCAAAACAAAACACCCAAAGATTTGTTTTCTTTTCTGCAGCCGGCCACCCATCGA